TCAGTGTTTTGACCACATGGCTGAGGAAATAATTTTTTAGAAAAATGGAGGGCCGTCACCACACACAATTGATCTTTATTAGTTCTTTGTAAGGACAACCTATTCTTGGCTTGTGTTAGTGCCACTCTGCATTGGAATATCTTGATTCCAGTATTTCACTTCATAACTATGCCTTGTTTTGTATTTTGCTCATTAACAAGACAAAACAAAATACTCTGCAATTGTCCAAGTAATAAAAAGATAATAAATACTAAAAATCACCTAGTTTGTTTTAGGTAGATCTTGGATGTCTTTGAAAATAAAACACATTTAAAAAAAGAAAACAAACACAAAAAACAAACCTCAAAAGAATACTGTAATGAAAACGAGATTGCTATGATTTTATGAGTTCATGTCACTACAGTAAGACTTAGTTACCAGAAAGTTCCGTATGTTGATTCACACAGTGTATGTAATGGCTAGTGCTTGTGTTCTAAGGTTTTTCATAACGAATCAGTACAGATGCAAGGATGCAAAGAGAAAAAGAGCTAATGATTCAGAAGACTTTCAAGTCATTTTTAAAGTCTGAGTTATTAAGCATTATCAAGCATAGTCCTAGAAACTACTTTTTAAGCTATGTGAACAGAAGATTACAGTTCTTTAGGAACATGAATATGGTCTTTCAAAAGAAAAAAAATGCATTTGTTGATATTAACCAAAGGTAATGAGGCCCATAACAACAAAAACAACAACAATGAGGCCCTAGAAGTTTCTCAAATATTTTCTAGAAACACGATTTCTGCTAATTTACCCAAATTCTTAGCTAGTCAGCAAAAAAGACAATTCATGTGAAAATTTTATATTATTGTTCAATGAAGATATTATTCAATATGTCAATAATATTTATGAACTCTTATCTGAACCTAAAAAAACTTATAACACATGTACTACAAGCCCGCACAGACGTAAGCACATTTAGATCCAACCTAGCATCTGTTTTAGGAATAGGACCTTTGGTGGCATAGTGGGTAAGGAGTTGTACTGTCGAAACTACCCCTTGCTACACTAGAGAAAGATGGGTAATCTCCTCCTAAGCGAGTAATAGCCTATGAAAATTCACTGACTGCAACCAAATGGCAATGAATAGCAACAACAGCATGCTCTAAAATCAGGAAAGTTGTGTGTCAGGAGTGTGTTCTTTCTCCACATCTATTTGATCCATATGCTGAGCAAATTATTAGAGAAGTTAACTACACGAAGAAGAATGTGGCATCAGGATTGGAGGAAGACTCATCAACAACCTGTGTTATACAGATGCCACAACCTTGCTTTCAAAAAGTGAAGAAAACTCTAACTTCTTACTACAGAAGATCCAAGACTACAGCCCTCAATATAGAGTATTCCTCAATTTCAAGAAAACAAAAATTCTCACCATTGAACCACCAAGCAACGACATGATAGATGGAGAAAAGATTAAAGTTGTCAGTGCTTTAATTTCACTTGGATCCACAATCAACATGCATGACGGCAGCAGGCAAGAAATAAAAAGACATGTTGTACTTTGGAAATCTGCTGTTAAAGATTTCTCCAAAGCACTAAAAAGCAAGGGTATACATTTCAATACTAAGGTGTGCTTGACCCAAGCCAAAGTATTTTCAATTGCTTCCTATGCATCTGAAAGTTGGACAATGAATAAAGAAGAGAGAAAATAAATCTATGCCTTTGAATTGTGGTGTTGGACAAGACTACTGACAAGACTTACCAAAGAACAAGGAATTTGTTTTGGGCAAAGTACAATCAGAGAACTCTTTAATGGCAAAGATGGTGAAACTTCATCTCACATACTTTGGGCGTGTTGTCAGGAGGGGCTAGTTTCTGTAAAAAGACAATGACTACAACAATGGACTCAAAATGTCAGAGATTGTGAAGATAGTGAGGATAAGTCAAAGTTTAGATCTGTTGTTCATAGGGTCACTGTGAGTCGTACAGCTGACTCTAAGGCACCTAAGAACAACAATATTTGTTAGCATTGTTAATATTCAAGCATAACCATAATGTTATGGGTACAGATAAAATATATTAGCACTATCCAGAAAAGTAGTTGTAATTCTGAATCTTCCCTAAAGAGAAGATATTACAATAGAAACTATTTTTTTTTCATAAAAAGGTGATTGAGTGCAAGTTACATTATATTAGAGAATCTTTTTTAATAAAATTTTTATCTTATACTGGTTTACCTATGAAATTTGAATACATTGTTTTTCACACCAGATTGTTCCCCTTGCCTTTACCCACCTCTCCCTCCACCTATCAAATCGTGTGACCCTATGATTAACACCCCAACCTGCCCATGCTATCATCTCTGCTCCCCTGTCCTCATACTCAGTCTCTCTCAAGTTAGATAGTGATTTACAAAATTATTGCTCAGGAGTGCTGCATAGTATTCCATCATGTGAATATACGATAATTTCTCAATCCATTCAGTTGCAGTTGGACATTTGGGCTGTTTCCATGTCCTTGCAATGGTGAATAACGCTGCTGTGAACATTGATGTACAAGTCTCCATTTGTGCCTCACTTCTCATTCTCTCGGTGTACATTCCAAACAGTGAAACAGCTGGATCAAATGGAATTTCTATGTTCAGTTTTCTGAGGAAAGACCAAAATGCCTTCTAGAGAGGTTGTACCATTTTACAATCTATATTAAGGACTTTTTTGAGTAAGCTTTAATATATGAAAATCAATCAATCAATCAAAACTCTGGAACTTTATTTTTAACAAAATATATTGAAATCATTTTATTAAGGAATCCACTGACTTCAAGTCCATTTATACTTGCAGTGACCCTTCATGAGTTGCTAATGCTATAAATCTGTATGTTATAAGACTACTCATCTTCCTCCCACAGAACATCTGGTGGATTCAAACTGATGATCTTTTGGTTATCTGAACTTTTAAATAGCAACCCAATATCTAATGTACTATACCATTAGCACACCTTCAGTTAGGGAAAGGGAATATACAATAAGAAGAATAAGAGATGATCGGAAAAATATGGAGAACATAAAAAAGAAAATAATCTTCAATTCTCAGAAAGGCAATTGTGTGTTACAACACTCTAAATGATGTTGGCAATTTAAACACATATTACAGCAGCAGAATTTAAATTCTCTTGGCCCATGTTGTTAGAAGCCATGAAGTCAATACCAATTAATAATAACCTTAAATGGAATAAAATAACCCTAGAATGGAAGAAAACCCTGCCATATTGTGCCATCTTCACCACATTTTATGTGTTTAAACCCATTGTTATAGTCATTGTGTCAATCCATCTCCTTGAAGGTTTGTGGGAAAAATAAAGATTAAGCAGATGGGCTCCATCTTAGAAACAGAATATCATATTGAGAACATGCTGACTGATACTTGACCTGAGGCACGAACAAAGTTATTAACTCTAGGAGAAGATGTACCCAAGAAAGATTACAATCCTTGATGAAGAAGAATAGGGAACTGTTTTCCTCCCCGAAGAATCTGGCCCGTTCTCTAGGATGATACATCTATAGAGATGAGGGACGTTTCTTTATCTTGGGAACATGGGCCAGTTCCGGAAAGAGAGAGAAACATTGCATTCTTCTGTATGGGTTCCATTGTGCATCAATGTAGAACAATCAGATAGAGGTGTTTACACTCTACTATAAAGCAAGAGGTTCCTTTGATTCAAGTCAAACTCTCACTCATGAAGTGGATGCGCCGCCTGGGATTCTTCCACTGAGACGTAGGCTCGCTCTTTCAGGGACTTCCCAGGTAAAGTATGTTCTCAGTGCTGATGCCCTGTAAAATAGACGGATTCCCTCACTTTACCTCTTTTCTTGAAATACTATCACTTTGTCTATCTCTGTTCTTATTTATTTTCTAAATATTTGAAATGAAATATTCCTTATAGTAACGTTATTACATATTCATTTTAAAGAGGTCCTTTGCAGCAGATTTGAGCACTGTGATCTCTTCAGAAGCTGACCTAATTACTATAAATATAACAATCATTGTTGTTACTGTTGTTAGATGTCATTCAATAGCTTCTTTAAGTGTGTACGGTACAACTGTTTCTTCTTCTTTTTTTTTCAGAAGCAAATTTCCAGACCTATCTTCCAAGACAAGGTGAGTCTGAATGAAAAACAACAACAACAACAACACACAGACACACACATAAAACCCAACGAAAAACAAACCCAAACATTTCTTCTAGCAGTCAGATACTTAACAATTGGAACCACTCAGGGTCTAGCCTTATTTTTTTGTCGTCAGGTGCAGTCTAGCCAGTTCCGACTCATAATGACCCTATATAGTATAACAGAACAAAATCCTATTCAAACCAGAGCCATTCTCACCCTACTCACAGATGTCGTCTGTTTGATTACTGCATATTCCAGCTGCTGATGTTCATGTGTCACTGTTTATGCCTTCCCCCCCTCAAAGAAGTATTTGCAATGAGTAAGTTTTGGTCATAGAAAATTCTATCAAAATAGCTCCAGTTTCATTTCTATCTCCGATGTTCTAATTTTTCCCTCTATTTTTAAATTAAATTCTACTTTAAAATAATATATATATAAACTAGGATGGTTACTATGAGGGGTGGAAGGGGTGACAGAGTAGCAATTTTAAATTCCAATAATAATTTATTAGTATTGAACCTTGTTTACATGTTCAATCAACTTCCGATTATACAAGTTGGTGCATCAATCTGAATAGTGGTCATATAGATTTTTCTTTTATGCATATGTTTAGTATTCTATCGCTGGCCTTGTACTTCAGGAACACCACTCATTCGTTGCCAGTGATTGCCCAGAGTAACTGGGAATGAGGGCATTGTACAAAAGAGAAACCTAAGTGTTCAGGTTGACAGCATGATGGCTGTGAGACAATTGTTCCCTCACTTGTTCTTTATGGCTCTCAGACATATAACACTTGGTGTGAGGGGTGTAAACTCAGCTCAGGCAAAGAAGAAATGCCAGTACCGAGGACATGGAGTTGAGGACCCTGAGCGTGCAGTACTGGCGGCGGCCCCTGCCGTCGAAGGGGGGTGCGCAGAGCTCGCCCTTGCGATCACCTCTGGGAGACCCCAGAAAGGTGATCGGGTATTCTATGTCTTGGTTTCATTTTCCATCTCTGGAGACTCGGTGGAGACGTGGACTGCACGTGCTTTCACAGGTCTGCCTGAGAGAAGATAAACCTACCTGGTTTCAAGGTAGGACCCTTAAGTGAGACTTGAGGGTATGAAGGACCCCGGAACGAGGGGCTTGTGCAGAAAGAATCACCCTTGAGACGGTGGGGCTGGACGGCAGCCTGGGAGAGCCCTCACTCACGGTGCGGAATGCTGAGACGAAGCCAAGGACTGTGGCGGACCACGATCTGCTCGGGGTCCACGGGAAAACCAGAAGTGTGGGACACCCACCCTGGGAAACGGGGGAGGGGGTACCAACTGAGTGCTGATACTAGCTTTGAGGCTCTGAGAATGCTGAGACTTTTACGTAGGTGGTGGTGGTGGTTGTTTTGGGCCTTTATTCGAATGTTTTATTCATAGCTCACCCTTCCAACAGATTTTCAGGCGTTGTAAATTGCGCAGAAGGACACTGACCTTTTTTCTCATGCCAAGAAACTGGTGGAACATGAATTTGGCCACTTAGGGTTGGCAGTGCAATTCCTTTGATTTACCAAATCAGTATAAGGAAGAATCATCAATCCTACAGGAGTCCATGGAAGGACCACGAGTAATTTTTACCAATGTATATATAGATCCTATTACAGGAGTTTTGCCATAGTGCTTATTTGAATAGGAGAAAGTGTCACGAAATTTACTTGCCTGGTATTTCAGAGAAGAGAGATCTTCGGCAAAAATTGGTAAATGTAGTTAATGTAAATGTAGACCAAATTTATCCACCAGTGTCCATTCTGAAGACTTTTTGCGGTAGATAATGCCACCATCTAACCCTACAAGAGAGAGCACTGCTGAAGGCTTTGTCAAACTACCTCATCGTATAGATGAGATTCGACAAGCCTTTCACTACCTGCATTATTTGGATTGGGCAGCATAAAGTGAGCTTGCCAAAAAAGCACCATTGCCTAATTTCACAGAATAGGTTTCCAAACCTACCAGGAAAAAAAAATGTAATGAACCTAAGCTAGGATCCTTCCATCCAAAAGAAATGGACCTCAGCAGAACCCAGGCCTACCAGTCTGCTATCAGATGTGAGAGTTCTGTCCTGGGTTGACTGGTTAAAGCCAGTGGAGCATTCATACTTCTTTTAGATCCCTAGGGAACATAACACTTAGAAAAGATGGCATTTGAGGCTGTAGATCATTATCATAAGAAGATTATTGCAAATAGCTTTAATCAGAAGCATCACAGTTCATTTTGGCAACTTAGGTCACCCACAGTATCCTTCTCTCCTCAGGTTCTGGTCCCAATTGCTAAGTGCACTCGTCCTTGCTGCTGTCTACAAAGGTCATCATGTCTCAGGAGCAGGAGAAGTCATGGCTTGGTGAAATTGAGGACCTGGACAGTACACAGGGCGATCAATCTCTGGAGGAACTCCTTCCCTCTCCCTCCAGTTTTCCAATGGTTGATAACCTGGAAGAGTATCTTGATGACGAAACACCCAGTGATTCCCTGGGTCTTGAAGATGAGGATTCCTCTATCATTCCTGCCTCATTGACCTCATCAAACAGATCAAATGACGGTTCCATCAGTGAAGAAGAGGAAGATATTCCAGGCACCTCCGAGATTCTGGCATTCATTATGAGTGTATGCAAAGAACTTCTAAGCATGAAAGTGGATTTCCTGGTGAATTTCCTGCTGACCAAGTATAAAAACCAAGAGTTTATTACAAAGGAAGAGATGCTGAATGTTGTCCTGCAAGAATATTCAGACTTCTTTCCTGAGATCCTCACGAGAGCCACTGAATACCTGGAGCTGCTCTTTGGTCTGGATCTGAAAGAAGTGGATCCCGTCAACAACATCTATGTCATTCTGATCAAATTAGGCCTCACCTACGACGGGCTGCTGAGTGAAGTAGAGGGCATGCCAAAGACTGGCCTCCTCATACTGATCTTGAGTGTGATCTTCATGAAGGGCAACAGGGCCACTGAAGAAGAAGTCTGGGAAGTTCTGGGCGTGACAGGGATATATCCTGAGGAGAACCACTTCATCTTTGGAAATCCCAAGAATTTAATCACTAAAGATTTGGTGCAAGAGCAATACCTTGAGTACCAGCAGGTGCCCAACAGTGACCCCCCACAGTTTGTATTCCTGTGGGGCCCACGAGCCCATGCTGAAACAACCAAGATGAGAATCCTGGAGTTTGTGGCCAAGGCCCAGAAAACCGACCCAAGATTTTTCCCATCCCAGTACGAAGAGGCTTGGAGAGATGAAGAAGAAAGAGCCCAAGCCAGAGTTGCAGCCATCCTTGGAGGTCTCCACATGTATAGGGCAAATTACAGAATCCTGACCAGAAGCATCTCTTTCCCCTGAAGATATCAGGGGTAGATTGTTCACATGAAAAATCAAGAAAGCTATGAGTCTTTTAAATATGTAGGGAATCAAACATATTTCATCAGGTGTCTGCATTCTAGATTTGCAACATTGAAAATTAAGCCTGTATTTGTAGAGAGATGTAGATTACTTGCACTTAATTTCATAAAGCTTTTCATTATGTTCAGATTCTGTAATGTTAAGGATGATGTTTACGCATTGATCACTGCTTATATTATTTAACATCTTTGCAATATTTGTATTGTATTTTGTGATGTGGAATAAGATGGTACCTTAATAGGTATGTGTTTGCATAGGTGAAAGAATACAGATTTAATTCAAGTGATATAAAAAATCACAGAAATAATTAAAAAGTGTTTCAGTTTGATATTAAGTTTAAAGGAGGTGTTCTCTAAAACAGAGTGATACTGACTTGGATTTTCTCTGCTTATTTGATTCTGTTAAATAAATAAAACTTAATAAATGATAATACGTGCTCACTATGTCTCTTTTATTCCTGAGCCCTTAAAATAGAGTTTCCACACTAGAAAGTAGTGATTCAGTACTTAGAATGCTACAGCAAATAAGTGTCAGCACTTGCTTATAGGAGGTTTTTTTTTTTCATTTTTATTGTGATTTAGTTATATATTGTAACGAAAGTTTACACAAATCTTGGGATTTCATTTCTTTATTGTTACACATTTTCCTCCCTCCCTTCCCCTTTCTCAGTCTACTTGTTTCTTTTTTTTTAATTATTGTTGTTGTTGCTGTGTACCATCAAGTCAAAATTGACCAATAGCGGGCCCTCCAGTGGGTTTTCAGAGGCACTTTAATCGCACAAGAGAGGATTGCTCATCTTTCTCCCATGGAGCAGTTAGTGGATTACAACTGTTCCTATGTGATTATAACACCGTTTCTCACCACTAGGCCACCAGAACTCCCTTTAGTATTGTTGTTGTTGCTATGTGCCGTCGAGTCCCTTGCGACTCATAGCGACCCTATGTACAAGAACCTTAAACTCTGCTCTGTCTTGTGCCAGTCTCACTGTCTCTGACACTCCCATCCCGATTATCCCAGTCACTGAATCAATCCAGCTCATAGAATGGGCCTTCCCCTCCTGCACTGTCCCTCCACCCTCCCAAGCATGATGTCCCTCTCCAAGGACCAGTCTCTCCTCACAACATGTCCAAAGTATGTTAGACGGAGCCTCAGAATCCTTGCCTCCAAGGAGCCACCCGGTTTAACCCTTTCCAGGACAAATCTGTTTGTTTTCCTAGCAGTCCATGGTATTCTCAATACTCTTCTCCAGCACCACAGCTCAAAGGCATCAATTCTCCTTCTATCCTCCTTGGTCATTGTCCAACTCTCTGATGCATAACAAGTGATTGCGAAGACCATAGCCTGTATCAGACGCACCTTAGTCTCCAGAGACACACCATTGCTCTTCAGCACTTTGGAGAGGTCCCTAACAGCAGACTTTCCCATGGCAATACACTTTTTAATTTCCTGGCTACCGGTGCCAAGAGTGTTGACTGTGGAGCCAAGCAAACTAAAGCTGTGAACAATCTCAATCTCTTCACCATCCATCCTGATGCTGCCAATTGGTCCAGTGGTGAGAATCTTTGTCTTCTTGACACTGAGCATCAATCCATATTGGAATCTGCAGTCCTTGACCCTCTGCAGCAGGGGCTTCAGATCCTCTTCAGTTTCAGCAAGCAGGGTTGTGTCATCTGCATAATGCAGATTGTTGATAGATCTTTCATCAATCTTGACCCCACATTTCTCCTCAAAGAGTCCAGCCTCCTAGATAATCTGTTCTACATACAGGTGGAAAAGGTATAGACATAGGACGCATCCCTAGTGTATGCCCTTCCCAATTTTGAACCATGCAGTGTTCTCTGGCTCTGTTCTGACGACTGCCTCCTGGCCCAAGTATAGGTTTCACATTAGAACGATCAAGTGTTCTGGGATTCCCATTCTTCTCAGAGTCAGCCACATTTTGGTTGGTTTTTTTTTATATTTGTATTAGTATTATTTTCTTTTATATTGGTGTGCATACAAAATTCATACACATGTATTTCATTATATTCTTCATTCACGTTGTGTTTCATACAATCATTCCCGTCCAGTGCGTCTTATAGAAAGAGTCACCATGAAACTATATCCACCATTACTATAACTTTTCAGGTCCCCACCAGATCTTTACCATTTTCTTTACCCCCTCCTTTTACCCATTAAATTGTGTGTCCCTGTGATTTCTCCCCTGCCTATTTCTCCCCCAATTCCCCCTTGGATCCCCATAAACGTTTTATTAGTTACCCAATTTTTACAATAATAGTTGTATGCAGTATTTGTCCTTATGAGCCTGGGTTAGTTCACTTAGCATAGGGCTCTCCAGTCTCTCTAAATTATGTAGTAATTTTCAAAATCATTGCTCTTGAATGCTGCATAGTATTCCATCATGCGACTGTACCATAATTTCTCAATCTCAATTATGGTTGGACATTTGGGCTGTTACCAAGTTCTTGCAATGGTAAATAATGCTACTATGAACATTGGTGTACAAGTCTCTATTTTTGCCTCAGTTCTAATTTCCTTGAGGTATATTCCTGGTAGTGGAATAGGTTGTACCATTTTACAATCCCACTAACAGTGAATGAAAATCTATCCACATCCTTTCCAAAATTTATTACCCACTGTCCTGTTAAACTTTGTCACTGCTGGTGGCATCTTATTATGATGATATCTTGGCAACGGCAGTCAAGAAATCAAAAGGCAAATAGCATTGGGGAAGTCTGCTGTCGGGGAGGGAAGTATCCAAGGAGCTGAAGAGTAATATCAATCTAGGGAGTAAAGTTTGCCTGATCCAGGCCATGGTCTTTTAAATTACTTGCTATGGATCAGAGAGCTGGACAATGACTAAGGATGATTGAAGAAGAATCAGTATCTTTACGTTGTGATGCTAGAGAACAGTATTGAAGCACCAAGAGAACAAAGAGGTCTGTCTTGGAGAGGGTGAAATCAAGTTTCTCCTGGAGACAATGATTTTGAAGCTCTGTCTCACATACTTTGGGCACATAGTCAGGTGGGACCGGTTCTTGGAAAAGGACATCATTTCTTGGAAGGTTGGAGGGACCGTGCAGGAGAGGAAGACCCCAGATGAAATGGACAGATAGAGTAATTGTGGTAGTGGGGGTAGATGCTTCTGAGTCAGTGAGACCGGCTCAGGATAGGGCAGAGTTCTGAGCTATTGTACAGAAGGTCGCTATAAGTCAGAGGTGACTCAATGGCGCATAACAACAACAACAATATATACACAGTTCTTGTGGCCTATTGATAAGAGGCTGTATTGCAGTCCCAAAGGCATGTACGTGGCTTGAGTCCACCAGTTGCTTAACGAAAGTACACAGCTCATATCCATTACTTCTTTTGGGGGAAGGAAAGTTATTTCCTCCCATGAGATTTATTGTCTCTGGAAATCCTCTGGAGGTTCAGCTATGAATCAGTTCCAACTCTACAGCACACAACAACAATGAATCCCTAAAAATGGATCAAATTTCAGTTTATTGATTCCCTCTTTCACCCTTCTCCTGCCTTAAGCTTCCAAAATTGATTCTATCTCTGTGAAAACTTCTCTTTAGCTTTTTATAATAGTGTCCTTATTCAATGACTTAGGGGGGTTTCCATGTTAAATTTTATGAAACATTTAAAGAAAATACAATATCAATCGTACACAGATTTTTTTTTTCAGGAAAGAGGAAAGGAAGAAATATCTCTAACTTTCTTGACAAGATCATCATTCCACCGATAGAGGATATATAAAAGACATTACAGGAAAAATGCAATATCCTCCAAGAGCCTAACTACAATTTTAAATAAATTTTTAGCAAATACAACAATATAGAAAAAAGAATGTTAGACCATGAATGATTTTCAAGTGTTACACAAATTTTCAATCCCTGAAGTAAATTGCATGTAGCTGGTTTAGCATTTGAAACTCCCTGTTCCATACATCAATATGGTTAATCTTCTCTTATAGTGGTGCCATGCACAGCAAAGAAAACTGCTGCCCAGTCTGACATCAAGATTTCAATGAGATCATTCTGATCTGTATAGTTTTCATTGACTAATTTAGAAGCAGATCACCAGTCCATTTTAGCTGCAAGGCTCCGATGAAATATTTTAAGTATCACAGCAACACACAAAGCTTCAATAACATGTATGATGCCTTTGTATATGATACTTTGATAAGGAAAAAAATACGTAGTCTTGCTTGCTAAAAAGAAGTAAGACCAAAAACATTCCCTGATGAAGTACAAATGCCTTCATTATGGACCATACTGCATAAAACAAAATCCTTACACTCAGACAAGTAATGAATTCCATGGTAAAATGAGAAAAGTTTCAAGGTATCTGAGAACCCATTCCACATGAGTCCACACCAAATGTCCATGGAAGCAACATTTTAAAACCAAACAACTTACTGCAATGAGAATATCTGCTGGGAAAAAAACCCCATATGTATGTGAAAATTGGATAATGAATAAGAAATAGCATAGATGATCCAATGCTCATGAATCACTGGCAACAGCAAAAGAATACCAAGCACATCACAGAGAATTGAATAGGTGAAACTAGAATGCTCCGAAAAAGCATTTTTACATACTTGGTGTTTTTCTGTGTCCTGGTCTATTTTTGAATGGCATTTTCAGATATGTTGGTTTTATTTTATTGTCTGTAATTGTTGGATCACAATGCAAAGAGTTCCCTTTAGGATTTCTTTTGAAATTGGTCTCAACTTCACAGATTCTTTTGTTGTTGTTAGGAGCCTTTACCATAAGCACAATTCATAGCAACCATAAAAACAACAGCTCTGAACCCTGACCTAGTCTGTGTCATCCATATAGTTTCAGACACACTTAAGCCCATTGCTGTAGGCACTGTTGTCAATCTATCTTCTTGAGAGTCTTCCTCTCCTTTCCTGACCTCCACCTTTCCAA